GATGTGGCAGTGGAAGGTGTCAAAGCAGTTTGGAGAGAAAAACAAAGTAAAGAACAAAAAAAAAAAAGAAAACGATTAATCGATTACTAAATTAGTCATCGATTATTTTAATAAAGGATTAGTTGTCAATTAATCGATTAATCGTAGCAGCCCTACTTTAAAACTGTTGTTTATGTTGAAGAGAAAAAAATGTTGATATTGTTTTTTGCAACACAGTTGCAAAATAAAAAAAAACATTTTCATTGAATCAAATTGTGATAATCGATTCTGAACTTACTGAATTGAAATCGAATCGATTTAGAGAATTGGCCATGATACTCAGCTCTACTGGTAACACCATGAACAAGATGGTGCAGCAGTGGATTGAACCTTCAAAAACCTACAAGCACCATCTATCAACCAAATAAAAGGTGTGCTTCACTTGTAGTGTGGTATTAATTAGGCCTGTCACAAACATTATGACGTTGACTTTTTGCATAATTGTCCTTACTAAACTTTTTACAGATACTAATACACGAGTAAAATAAAGTGCCACGCCCCAAAAGACATTCAAAGTTATATCTGGTATTCAACGTAGGCATTTAGCTATAGTCTATTGGTTCTGCATTTTTACTGACTTTTATATGCAACCATACTTTTAAATTAGTTTTCTTGGTATTTTTCATTGTGATAGTAAAATGTCCTCAATGTTGCCTGGTGTCAGAATGACTTCAAAGCTGAAACACAGGTACACATCAACACTGTTTGGACTGGGTGTATTTCAATGTACAGGAAGTAGATGTGAATGTATCTAGACCACAATGCATCACAAAATATTGAGCATGTGCTACATTAACTGTATAAAAAGGGTCAATTCACATGTGAAGAGCATCATTTCTATTTTGTTTGGCTCTGTTTCGTAGAGATGACAAAGAAGGACAATGTTTCTTAAGGCTTTTCTGGTGTGAACAAAGCATGTCTAAAATGTGCCATTTTTAGGAATCCTAACAGGACAAATTTTGGTTTCTCCAGTTGTTCTGAATGAATAAATGATGTTTAGTCTCCTTGCAAAATACATGCGACCCATCACATCAAGTCAAACTTGGTCAAACTAAACTCATTTCTAGCTTCATTTTGACAAAGGATTCATGAGTGGTTCCAGCGATTCGGCTTAATTTGTTTTGCTAATTGGGAACAACTGAAAAATCAGTCTGAATTCTATTTTAAGCATATTCTATTGAGGATTTCTTCAAGTAATTTGATAAAGGAAACCTCAGTTCATATTAAGAAATTAGGATATTCCCAGTTAGATTTGAAAATTGCCTCTCTAGCATACACAAAAGCAGCAAAACATTTTGGGGATTTTCTGCTTGAATCATTTTTAGTTGTTGGTAGGCCTGTCGCGATAGTCAATAAATCAATCAACTGCACGATAAGTTATTTTGAGGTCGGTAAAAAAAAATGACGATAAGTTTCATTTTCCTGCTTGTTAGTTTACTTCCTCTCTCCCTCTCTGTGCTCCGCTGCACAGGAGCTCAGCTGACTCCTCCCCTCCTGTTTTCTTCGTGTCGGGAGGAGTGAACTCTCGCGTTAGCATGAGAGCTCATAGCAATAACAAACTAAAGAAACGTTTGAAAGCAGAACGCGGCTGCTGCAGTGTCGGAGCAATTGCAGAGCCTGAAATTGGCTGAGGGGAGACAAAGAGAGAGAGGAGGAGAAGGGGTGGGGGCTGAAACTCCCCCAGACCCG